GAGTTTATTTTAAAAAATTCTATACTGTGTTTGCAATGACGACTTTTTCACTGTCTGGCATTTTAAGCATCTCACCCCAAGTATCTGGGTGAGATGCCAAATGCCATTAGGGTAAGATAACAAATATAATTGCTTAAAATTAATTTTTGAATTTCTTAACCAAATTTAATTTATTGCATATGTAGTACAAAGTACTTCATAGTAAGTATAACAGCACAGTATAAGTATTGTTAAGTTTCCGCCCGTTCTAACGTGTTCTATAGCTAGCTGAAAGCTTTTTTCAGTCCAAAAGCATTTTTGAGAAGTCTTTAGGTATATATATATATAATATATTATTATAAATATAATATATATATATATATACACACCCATATTCACACTTAAAAACATAGTAATTTTATTATACAGAAAGGTATAGTAATTCACGAAGTTGGTCATGCAATTGGACTACATCACGAACAATCAAGATTAGATCGAGGAAATCACATTAAGATTTTATGGGAAAATATACCATTAAGTAAGCACTCGCAATTTCATCTGACTTTAGATTTTAATCATCAAGTAAAATACGATTTATCGTCCATTATGCATTATTCTACTATGGTAAGTAATTTGCTATTTGCATTAGCAATTTTTTATATTTTTACACGAGATATTCTACCAATAAGCTGTGCGTTTGATTAATAATTTAGGCATTTAGTAAGAAAGCATTCGAAAAAAATACTATTGTCAGTAGAAATCCTCATCTTCAGAGATTAATGGGTAGAAGTAATAGCTTAAGTTTCCGAGATGTAAAGCTTACAAATAAAGTATACATGTGTGACTGTAAGTTAAATATATATATATATTATATAAAACATAATTAAAATATAACTGTCATTATTATCTATTTCAGTTTTATGCCCGAATAAAAATGAATTAAACTGTAAAAATGACGGCTATATCAGTCCTTATAGACATGATAATAAACCGTGTCGTTGCGTGTGTCCTCCTCACACTGTAGGAGAATATTGTGAGAGTGTCGTAGATTATTATTATGGTAAAAAAACAATTCCTTAATTTATAAAGGAATTTACTAGAAAAGAATAATAAAAATACACGATAATTAATTTATATTTCTAGATTCTCTTCCGTGTGGAGGTAACATAACACAAGAAACTATTATCCAAACTCCTCAATATCCATCGAGAAAACCTTACGATAGTTGTAGTTGGTGGATACAGGTATTTAATAATATAATTTATAATTTTATTATAAGAATAATCAATTATTTTAAAATAAAAAGGAATAAAGTATTGACTCATAATCCCTGAGGTAATAAAACTCTTGAAGGCGGGAACTTAAAATTATTGATAAGATAATGGTTAAAAGGAAATAGCCATTGTTTATGTCTGATACTTTTGCACCTCCCTCTAAAGTTAGGATATGTTCTCAATTCTATTTGATAGGCAGTTACAAATATCAAGAAAAATGAGTACAAAATAATAATTTATTCGCATTCCAGATTTAATAGCTATCTAGTATAAATTATTTCAAAAGATTTAAAAGGAAAATGCAATTATTAAAAATGTACTCACTTCCTTTAAGATGATTTTTCTTTCTTTCTTGTTTTTTTTTTATTTTTTAGGCACCTAATGGTAAAAGAGTTAAAGTTGAATTTATAGATTTTAGCTTCATTCCTCGTTTTAACAGAAGAAATCATAAATATAATGGATTCTGTGTTTCAGAAAGAGTGGAAATTCGAACAGACAACCTTTATAAAGGAAAAATGTAATTATAATATTGTTTTTTTTTTAATATATAAATTACATACTGTATATTTTATGTATACAAAGAGCCGCCAAGCATATTCGAAATACCTGGATTCGAAGGGATCCAGAGGGCTAAATAATAAAAAATACATCCCCCAAAACACATATATATAATTAAAATTATATATAACATTTTTTCCTAAATATTTAAAAAATTTGAGCTTTTTTGTTTATTAAACAGGACAGAATTTCATTAAAAATCTTAATTACACGTGTATACATGTGTTTGAAGTGTTCTTAGTCTTAAAACACTGCTGCCATCTGTTAACATTTCTATTAACTATACACGTGTATACATTTATACGTGTAATTAATTAAAATTAAAATAAATAAATATATTTTAAAAGGAAGTAATGTTTAAAAAAATTTACATAAATTTTTATGGATAAATAGAAAATTAAGTTATCTTATCAGATCTAAAGCAACAATAAGTAAGGAAATTTTATTCTTGAAGTGATAATTAACGTATTTTCTTATCAAATTTTGATTTAAAAATAAAGAAAAACATAGACTTTTGACAATAACAGTCGAATATGATAAGGTTAAAGTTTTCTTTGCATGATAGATTAATAAAGGAAGCTTACTACATCAGTCAATGTCAACTTTTTCCAGGTATTGTGGCACAGACTTGACACCAGGAACCAAATTAACTTCAAGATTAAAAGATTTCATCATCATCATCGAAGCAACTGGATGGACAGAGGGAAGAGGTTTGAAAGCAAAAGTTACCTTTGTGTAATTTAATTTTTAATATCAAAAAGATAAAAATGACTTACCTGATTATTACAGAATAATAAAAATATTTTTTTAAATATGTATATATATATATTATTTTTTAATTTAAGTGCAGTTCATACATTCATTCACACACTCGCTGGTTAGAGAAGGATAAGAGGGAATGATTTATATGTAATTTACTATTGTTATAATTAACTTCTAGTAAATTAGCTAATCTACGATTAATATTTTTAATTTAGTAGATCACTTACGGTGGCCAAAACACGAATATTTCTTAGGGTTTTCGCCATTTTTAGCAAGGATATACGTGGCAGGATGATATATACCGTATGATGTTAACTCTTCGCAACTTCTAGCAATATCCGGATAGAAAGCTGAAGGGGAATTTATTATTTCAAGTTATCAATTTTATTATTATTTTAAAATTAAATTAAATTATAAAATTTTATAAAAAGCATAAACTTACAAATGTTATACACAACTAAAGCTTCATCACGACCGCAATGTTGTTCTTCGCATAAACTATTACACTTTTCCAAATCGATAATGGTACTCTTTTCTGCATCTTTCTTAGTTTGACAAAAACAACGATCCGGCTTTACAGCTGCTGATTGATATCCCCTTCCTCTACAATGTTCTATACATAATGTAACACTCATATCTAATGCTTTCCAAACGTACGAAGTATGAGGCTTATCATAGCAATTGACAGCACCTGATTAAAGAGACATTTGTGTATCCGTCTTTCCGTTTTAATAATTTAAACCTAGATATTAAGAAGTATAGTTAATAACCTTTTTCCTTTCGACAGATATACAAAGCGGGTTGATTACATATATCGTCTCTCCATTTAAATCCCGCACTACCATCTAATTGAACACATCTCTCGTAGGGATTATTTGGCTGTGATCTCATCCAATATCTAAATGAAGCCAAGCTACCATCCATCCATCTGTAGTTATTCGCAGCATTATCATCAAACTGATACAAACCAGTAAACCACCTGACTCTTTGATATGCCGAACCTAATTTCTGAATAGTCTACAGTTAAAAATAAAAAACAAATAAATAAATCATTTATTTGCTATCTCATTTATAAAACTTGGTTTTATACACACCTTTTTAAATATAGTAATACTTACTTTAACTATAAAATGTAATTCTGTAGCATTTCTAATGCTCGCTAGTATGCCTCCACTGCTATAGCAATCGTCACGGGCTTGGAAGAAGTTTTTACTCTTTAATGCAAACAAAAAGCAAGCACCTCCATGATCCTTCCAAGGATCTTCACAGGTTTCACCACCTGTATTAACTTAAAAACCTCTACTTAGTAAATACGAATAATAATAATAAAAGGAATAAGAAATGCATATAGTTACCAATAATCAACACAACGAAGGCTAAACAGCATGCATTTAGTTCCAGGCTCGATCGCCAATTCTGCTATAAAAGCAATATAATAATTAATATAAATTTTCATACAGGATTAAACGTAGCAAGATACATACGCACAGTTAGCATTTCTAGACTGCTTCCAGATAAAATTTCTACGTGAAGTAACTCTAAACAACCACATAAGAATGACGTGACAATGTAAACTTTATCTCACGAAGCTAAAATCACAAGCGAAATTATTTTCATTCCCAATGGATTAGGCGTGTATCGAGTCAATACATACACGAATCGCACTAACACCTTTGCACGAAAGGTCATCATAACGTCCAAGAGGAAATACAATATTCAGTTAAATCCAAAAAATTACCATTTAAAAAATAAAAAAAATAATAATAAAAATTATTACAAACCGGATCGAATTTTTAATTTCGTCTGAGAAGAAAAGCCATAGAGAATGGGCGGAATTTCATAAAAGAAACGTATAAGGGTGTGGTTAATAACTTATAATAATAATTTAGATGTTAAAATATAATTTCCCTGCAGATTAAACCGAAATTTTTTAAAGGATATTTTTGAAATTCTCTTATTCTAAGACACAATACCAAAAAAAAATTACCCCCTCTCCATATTTAAAAAAAGAATGGCTAATTTTTAAATGCATTAACCTCTTACCATTAGCAAACATCAAGATAAAAGTAACAATGCTGCAAATTTGACATCGCATTTACGTGTCTACATGCAAAGTGGTGTGATATTTACATAAATTGTTATCCTTTTGAAAGATCCTGACTCACGTTTTTGTATTATGAACATGCGCGAATATATGTGTTCATATTGGTAGAGGCCAGGATAATTTTTTTAATAAGAGCGTTAATTAATCTTTATATCCTTATAATAACTTCTAGGTGAATTACATTAAACTAGATTATTAATGAGAATTCAGTAAATGTAAATTTAATAACCGGTTAAGAAGATAATTATATATAATGAACGGATTTAATGTTCCTCGTTCATAATATATAAACTATAATTCGGCAATTTTCTACGGTTATTTTATATTGTTCTTAACATTTATATTAATCGAATTGTAATTCAGTTAGTGGCTCGAAACTCAAATAAGATATTAATAATTTATATATATTTTTACGAGAATTATAACTTTTAATTGCCGTAAATCATACGAAATGAATAATTTCGGCATCCATTTTCTTTTTCCTCCATAAAAATTTCAAATTGATTACGAAAGTTTCTATTCCGCGCTTTAACAATTCTCGAAATTAGTTTTTCCCAATATCGATTAATAATAATTGCTTGGATATTAACTCTTCTTCAACCGTGCATTAAATTACCTAATGAAATTAAAGCTAAACTATTGGTTAGAAGACAATTTGTAAAAATGTCCGAATCAATTATTTACCATTGTTCGTATGGGAAATTAGCCAAAAGGAAACTCTTCTACTATTATTGGATTATTAAACAAGCTATTATACAGCTGCACTCTTTCCATATATGTTTTTTTTTCTATAGAAAACTATAGTAATTGCCCAGCCGAGGTGTGTAATTGCATTGATTATCATTCATCCGGCGGAGATGGAAAATATCAAATTTTAATGAAGTCGTAACTTCAATAGTTTTGAGAAATTTCGAAATTTTGTATTTCTAGTCAATTTTTAAATGGTGTCTTATCAATTTTAAAATACAATTATATTTTACAGTGCAATTTTAACTAAAAACAATAAATACAGATAATGTTTCAATTATAATTTATTTATCTATCATCAGATGGCAGTAAAGTAATTAGACAAATAATATA